TTATTTAATTTTTCAAGTAAAAATGGCAGTTTTTATGAACTATTACAATACCATATTTTAGTGCCAGGGATTATTTTAACCTTTTAATACTGTGTCACGCATCATCGTAGTCCTCAATATTTGGTAATGCTATTTAAAGTAACTCAAGAACCATGTGCTATCTGGGCTTGAAGGAAAAAGGAAGTCTACTAAGATTGCAGTGATGGAGGCCTTTTGTTTTCAGATGAATGCTACAGCAATGTGAGGCCGTTTGTCAGGCATAATCAAAGTGCAAAACAAATCCATTCTTAAAAAGCTATTTTGGGTTTGGCTGAAAGAATGGACTTGCCTGTTGCTTTGATTGTTTTAAATCAGCTTATACTGCAAAATTGTCACTGAAGCAAACAAAAAACGACAGCACGGCTGTGTACTGAAAATGCACTTCTCTCATCTGTGGGAGATCGGGAAGAAACAAACACGCAGAATTTCCTAACAAAGCCATGCGCAGGCATCAGATCACCTGCCTGACTTGGAAGTTTTCATTAAATATCATCTGCAGTACACTCTCCAATAGTGATCGGTCCAAAATCTGTCATCCAAATAAGATTAATTCAGTGTGCACATGAAATTAATACATTCCATGTGCTACCATACTTGCAATATTGGAAATCAGTACAAGCTTATTAAAACAATAACATTTCATATACTGATTTGCAAAAAGTCAGAATTTACTTTTAGTTCTTAACAATCTCCCGAAGGCTTCTGACATAGATGTACAATCCGATTATATTTATTACATTAATTTTGAGGAGGGGGGTCTCTATTAACTCATTTGCAGGCACATTTATGCACAAATTGTAAACAAGCACATTTACTTGTTCAAAAAGGTAGCATTAAGACCATCACAAAACAATGACAGAGTAGAGTAAAGGGGTTGGGAGAGAGGGTGAGTCACACCCATCTGGGCCACTGTCTACTGCCACCTTGGAAAAATAGCTGTCCCCCCACTTCCTTTCCTAAGTGGGTGACGCTTTCATCCTCTGCACGGCTCAGGGGATGCTGTGGGGATGGATGAGAAGGGAGCAGGACAGAGGCGTCCCGTCCATTCCACCCAGGTGCTGCTCCTGAAGGGAGTCTTGATGAGCCTCCTCTCTCTGCATGTGGAGCCCTGCAGGGCTCCATGTTTTCCTAAGGAGCACAGGTCCTCTCAGAGCACAGGCCCCAAGTTTCATCGCCATCAGGTGCAGCCTCTCCCGCCTCTCCTCTCCTGCTCCCCACAGCCCACATCATGCAGAAGGCCCTCCCTTAGGTTAACCTGACTTCCTCCCGACTCACCGTTCCTTCCGCAAACATTCCTTTTTGGCTCACCCTCCCCACCCCCAGGCTAAGGCCTCCCAAGTGCTCACTGAACCCTGCACCCTCATGTCCTCCTCACACTGTATCCCAATGACCTGCAGACCTGCCTGTCCCCACCTAGACAACACATTGAGGATGGAGCTCAGTCACCTTCACCTTCGCTCCCCAGCAGCTAGAGTGGAGAGTGGAGCCTCGGAGGCTCTGGAGTAAACGAAGAGGTGAGAATGTGGAGAGTGGCCCTCGTGAACTCTGGATTATTGGTGCTAAAGTGAAAGGGATTTCAACATACAGAGGCTGACTCCCCAAAAACTGACGACTCTGTCTGATGCCTAAAGGACAAATTCACCTTTGAAACTACCTTTTCTTGAGCACTTAAAGATTGATTCTACCAAGTTTTCTCTTTAATACTGCAATTATAGCTTTAGAATGGTTGGATATTTTTGAACAAATACTTTATACAAGAGACAGAACGAAACAATTCAGATTATCACCGACTTACAGACTCCTCCAATTTGAACCTTACTCTACAGTATTAACCATTTTCTCATTATTCTATATTTTTTCCATTTTCCTACAATTATTACTATAATTACTATATTGTATTTTACTTGTTTCCCGTTTTCTTAAAACAGAAATCCTGTGGTTCGCCTTGCTATGGGTGTGAGTGTGTGACATGGAACTGTGTTACCACTGGTTACTCCTCCGGCATTTTAAACTCAAGGCACTGGACATCATACTCAACCTTTATGGTTAAACCTGACATGCTACATTAGGCATTCTTTGTGTGTTTCACGAACGCTCGGCTCACAGAAGTTTCAGTTTTTGCAACCTGGCATCAGGCTACATCATGACTGTCATTGCCTTTGTGGGAGCTTTTTTTCCCATTAAAAATTTAAACATGTAAGTTTTGTTACTGCATTTGTATGAAGGTGGATATATCAATCGTGTATATTAAAACATTTTCTTACACCTAAGAGTTCATTTGTTTCCTCTGATTTAAGAGAAATTAAAACATTTTCATGGCTCCTAAAAGTATCGTGGCCCCTCATGTGCCTGATGGAGATGCTGGCCCTGCCTGGCGCCCCGCCTCATATTTGACTCTCCCCTGCCTGGTGTTCCGTCAATGCGTGGTCCTGCCGTTCTGAGAGGTCAGCAGAGCTGGGGTTGGTGTTGGAAACGCTGTCATTCTTCCCCTTCCAAATGAGCAGTGGCTTCCCAGAGAAGACTCATCCTGGAAAGGCAGGTGGGGCTGGGCGGGCAGCCTCTGACCTCACGCCTCGGTCCTCAGCCGTCTCAAGTCAGGTGGCACCAACAGGATCGATTGTTATTTTTGCTCAGGGCTCAATGCTCACTTTTCCTAGGCTACTTGGCTTTTGTGGCTTCTTAGGTTTCTTATCTGCAACTGACAAAGTTTATATCTATACTTTTAGAAGCAGACAATGGAAGGAATAAAAACCACATTCTTCAAGGCAATAAAAATTAAATGTGTCATTATATTCTTTTTGTATCACAACCATCTTGTATAAAACTTCTTTCTCTTCTAATATCATTTTCAATTTGTAATCAACTTACTTCAATTAACCATATTTCATTATTTTTATTAAGTGAGTTGATTCTCAAATGACTACAACTTTCTGTCTTTGTATCACTTCCCTGATATCTAGGGAAGTGTCCATGCTTGCTGGGAACACAGAGCACCCGGCAGGCTGCATTAGTTTCTGGGGCTGCTGCCTCACCTTATAGGCAGACCTTGGGGATACTGTGGATTTGGTTCCAGGCCACCACAATAAAGCTCATATTGCAACAGAACAAATCACACAAATATTTCGTTTTCCCAGTGCCTATAAAAGTTTGGTTTATGTTATACTGTAGTCTATTAAGATGCAATAGCATTATGTCTAAAACATGAACATATCTCAATTTTAAAATACTGTATTGTTTTAAAAAATGCTAATGATCATCTAAGCCCTCAGTGAGTTACAATTGTTTTGCTGGTGGAGGGCTTTGCTGATGTTGATGGCTGCTGACTGATCAGGGTGGAGGTTGCTGAAGGTTGGGGTGACTGTGGCAATATCTGAAATAAGATCACAATGAAGTTGACTGCATTGATTGAATCTTCCTCTCATGAAAGGTTTCTGTAGCATGATGCTGTTTGATAGCATTTTACCCACAGTATAACTTCTTCTTTTCAAAATTGAGTCAATCCCCTCAAACCCTACCCACTGCCTCATCAACTAAGTGTATATATTCTAAATCCTTTGTTGTCCTATCAATAATGTTCACAGCATCTTCATCAGGAGTCAATTCTGTCTCAAGAAACCACTTTCTTTGCTCAGCCATAAGAAGCCACTCCTAATCTGTTCAAATTTTATCCTGAGATTGCAGCAATTCAGCCACATTTTTAGACCCCACTTCTCTAATTTAACTCCTTTGTTATTATTCTACCTCATCTGCAGTTACTTCCTGCACTGAAGGCTTGACTCCCTCAAAATCATCCATGAGGAATGAAATCAACTTCTTCTAAATTCTGTTAATGTTGATATTGTTTCTCCTCCTATGAATCAAGAATGTTTAATGGCATCTAGAATGGTAAATCCTTTCTAGATGGTTTATAATTAACTTTGCCCAGATCCATCAGAGGAATCACTATCTATGGCAGTTAGCCGATGAGATGTATTTCTTAAGTAACAAGACTTGAAAGTTGAAATTTCTCCTTGATCCATGGGCTGCAGAATGGATGTGGTGTTAGCAGGCATGAAAGCAACATTACTCTCCTTGCACATCTCCATCAGAGCCCTTGGGTGCATTGCCAATGAACAGTATTGCCTTTGAAAATAGTCTTCTTTTTTCTGAGCAGTAGGTCTCAATAATGGCTCAAAATATTCAGTAAACCACTCTGTAGATGTGCTGCTATCCTGGCTTTGTTGTTCTACTTATAGAGCAAAGACAGAGTAGATTTAGCATAATTCTTTTTTTTTTTTTTTTTTTTGAGACAGAGTTCCACTCTGTTGTCCAGGCTGGAGTGCAATGGCATGACCTTGGCTCATCGCAACCTCCACCTCCTGGGTCTCAAGTGATTCTCCTGCCTCAGCCTCCCAAGTAGCTGCTGTGCTGAGATTACAGGCACCCACCATCATGCCTGACTAATTTTTGTATTTTTTTAGTAGAGACAGGGTTTCTCCATATTGGTCAGGCTGGTCTCAAACTCCTGACTTCTGGAGATCCACCTACCTCGGCCTCCCACCAAGCATAATTCTTAAGGGCCCTAGGATTTTTGAATGGTAAGTGAGATTGGCTGCAATTTTAAGTCACCAGATGCATTAGCTATTAACAAAAGACATCCTGTCCTTTGAAGCTTTGAAGACAGGCATTTACTTCTCCTCTCTAGCTATGAAAGTCCTAGATGGCATCTTCTTCCAACAAAAGGCTGTTTCATCTACACTGACGATCTGTGGTTTGGTGTAGCCACCTCCATCACTTACCTTAGCTAGGTCTCTGGATAACTTGCTGCAGCTTCCCCATCAGCACTTGTTACTTCATCCTGCACTTTTAAGTTATGGACATGTTTATTTCCTTAAAACTCATGAACCAACCTCTGCCACTTTCAAACTTTTCTCCCAGCTTTCTACCTCCTCTCAGCCTTTTTTGAATCAGCACAAGCTGTTTCACTTTCTTGTCATTCATATGTTCACTAAAGCAGCACTTTTAATTTCCTTTAAGAGGTTTTTCTTTGCATTCACAACTGGGCTAACTCCTGGGTGCAAAAGGCCTTGCTTTCAGCCTATCTCAACTTTGAACAGGCCTTCCGCACTAAGCTTAATCATCTCTAGCTTTCGACTTAAAATGAGGGATGTGTGTCTCTTCCTTTTACTTGAACACTTAGAGGCTGTTGTAGGTTATTAATGGTGTAATTCCACAATCGTGTCTCAGGGAATAGGGAGGCCTGAGGGGAGGGAGAGAGATGGGGGCAGCTGGTCAGTGGAGCACGTGGAACACAGGTGACATTTATTATGTTTTCCGTCTTACCTGGGTGTGGTTGTTGGTTACAAAACAATTACAAAGTAAAATCGAAGATCACTAGGTGCAGATCACCATGACAGACATAATTATAATGAAAAAATTCGAACTATTACAAGAATTACCAAAATGTGACTAGAGATATGAAGTGAGCACAAGCTGTTTGAAAATGGGACCCATTGATGTGCCCCAATGGAGCTCCCACAAACTTTCAATTTGTAAAAACAAGTGCAGTATCTGCGAGGCACAATAGAGCAAGGCGCAATAAAACGAGGTCGGCCTGCGCGTGCAAACCCCTCACAGAGCGCTGTAAACACAATGTAGGAACATCATGGAAAAGCCCGTTCTGAGCACGGGGCTACAGGGGGCGCTGTTGGGTAAACAGGTCATTTGGCGGCACAAAGCCGCTCACAGCGCATCTCTGAGGTAACGCGGTCAGATTTACCTTTTCAGCATGTGCCGTGCCACAAACTGGGTCACTGAAAACCGCGGAAGTTCATTCTTCGCCCCGGACCAGGTGGGCTGCGCCCTCAGGGAGCTGAGCGGTCCCCGTGAGGCCCCTTCGCTGCCCGCACAATTCAGCTGTGGCGACCCCAGCGCAGCGGTGCCGGGACCTGGTGTGCAGAGGAATCGTGGTGAGAAATGTGCACACGTCGTCCAGACAGACGGCCCCGTGAGTCTCCCGACAGAAAAGAGGACGGCGAGGCGGAGTCCTGAAGGCGAGGCTTGCAGAGGCGGGAGAACCAGGCAGAAGGCCGCGGGCCTGCCGGGTTCCCGACGGCGACGAGGGCGGCGCCCCCCACACGCCTGCGCTCCGGGAAGGCGGAGTCTGTCAGCGCCGCCTGCGGGGTGTGGGAGCTGCGCGCTCCCTCCCTGTGGGGCGGAGCTGGCTGGAGCCACCGCCTGAAGAAACCGGGCTGTGTCCTCCGCTCCGCTCCGGGGAGGGGAACGTGGCCAGTGGATGCCGAGTTCCTTCTGTTGCCTTCCGCAGCCCACGGCGAAGTCACTCTGAAGAGCATCTCGCAGGCCTGTCCTTCTGCTTCTCGTCGCCTTCTAGGCGGCTCTGACCCTGACACCCCTTTCCTCCTCTTGTCTCCTCGAATCCTACAGTAAGGGAAATGGGGGTCCTGTTTTGAAACAAAATGAGAAAGAACCATAACCTTCAACTTCAAAACACTTCCAGTCTCCTGAAGATTTTTCACATTCAGAGATCACCCATTTCCCAGGGTCCTTGAAATATTTCCTGGAGCCGCGCCTCTCCCAGTGCTCTGGCTGGAGACAGCAGCGGGGCTGTCTTCCTCTGCGTCCTCGTGAACACCCAGTTTGGGGTGGAAGAGTCAAAAAGAAAACCCAGGAACGCCCCATCTTGTCGTTCTCAGGGTCCCCCAGATCCCCGCGGCTTCCTCTCTCCGCCCCTGGTCTTCCTGCGTTTGTTTGACGGGCCCTGCCCGAGGTTTCCGGTTGCACCTGCGGGAAGGAGGAAAACGCACGCCTGTTCCATCTTCCTAGGAGGGGAAATCTGAGGCTTTTTGAATGGCCACAGTATATTGCTTTAATTCTCCTTCACTTTCAGCGGTTTTGTCTGCCCCGCCTCAGGAAGACCGTCTGTGTTCTTTCCTCCGTAGCCCGGGCACCGAAGGCACATGCCATGCATATAAATTTCCTGTCTGCTGTCAAACTCTAGGTGAGCTCGTTATTTCTTCAGTTTAATCTGCGCACGTTTCACCCTAGGAGAGACACTGCCCAGATGTGGCAGCTTTTCCTGACAGATGGCCCGAGGCTATTCTTGCCCTAAAACTTGAAATGCTCACTTAAAACCATCCTTCCTAACAACACAGGTTTTCCAATTTCTATGAGGTTGACCTTTACACCTGAAGAGTCATCAAAACCCAGCTGGTGATGAAGAAGTGACGATTTCAAAAAAACGGAGGGAGAATGGAATCTGGTCTGTGGTTTTCAAGTGATTCCAGTTGCTTGATTTGGTCTCATTGGAATGTCTGAGTATTTGTGGAAAAGGCCCTTAACTCGATTTGCCAAACCCCATAAAGCAGGAGCTAAACTGACATTTAAGTCTTACTTGTGTCCTTTAAATCTTTTCTGGAAAGATTTTTCTCTGGGTTCACTCTTACATTGCATGAAAACAGGCAATGAACAAAGTGTTCATTCCAGCCTCATGTCGAAACCCCTGGAACATGTTTTTTCTCTTGTCTTTTTTTCTGAACTCCTTGCAGGTCAAGTCACAGGCCTTATTATTATTATTATTTTTTAAAAGACAGATTCTCACTCTGTGGCCCAGGATGGAGTGCAGTGGCGCGATCTCAGCTCACTGCAACCTCCACCTCCCAGATTCAAGTGATTCTCATGCTTCAGCCTCCCCAGTAGTTGGGATTACAGGCACACCCCCACGCCTGGCTGAGGTCATAGGCTTTGTCAGCTGTACCCTCAGCCTCCCTGTGACCCAGCCACGGTTAGAGGTTGCTGTATTGACCCTGACAGTGACCCTTGCTCTTTGCAGTTGTGCTGCCCACTCTGCATTCCTATTCGCAGCAGCTCAATCTTGTCTCTTTCAAAATAATTTCAAACAACAATAATTATATATATGTATTAGGTACAATGTGAAGTTTTGATATATGTTTGCATTGTGAAATGATAGAATCAAGCTAAATAACATTACTGCACAAACATCTTTTTTTGTGAAGAAAACATTGAAAATCTGTTATTTTAGCAATTTTGAAATATGCAATACAATATGTTGACTAGAGCTTCTTTAAAAAAAAACACGCTTAACTTTATTTCTTCATTTTTCACTTAAAGCTTGATTTTATAAAACAAGTGTTTTTAAGAATTCTGCATCACAAGACACTAAACAGCAGAAATATTCATTGCTTCACAGGTTCAACTTATAGAAATTAAATCTGTAAATTTATTCAATATGGAAAGCTAGATGATGAAATAAATGTGAAAAGGACCCGGTAGAGCAATATTGCTTTGCTTATGGATTATTGGTTACTTTCAGGATTTAAACAAAGATTCTAAGTGTTTAGACTTCCTTCATTGTATTTTATATTTAAATATCTCCCTACCTGTACTGAGTTAAGCTACTTGACCAAAATGTCTGATTTAGGGAAACATTTCATTTTTTCCATCTACAGTTACCATCTGCAATGGAATTTACATTACGCTGCTGACAAAAACCTCCTGGTTCCTTTTGAACAAGGTGCAATGAATTCATTATGTCAACCCCATGGTAAGTCAAACAGGTATCAAAAAACATGGAACAATTACACACAGTTCAGTAAAGTATAATATTGATTTTTCCCATGTAAACATTAACCAATGAAATAAAATGTATCAGCTGTAGTTGACTTGGTTTCAGGAAAACCACATTCGAAAATTACATTATCTTCCTCTTGTCATCCTCAGTCGTTGTGGGCCACCATGCTGTGAGCTCTGTGGATGTAGCAGTAAGTGAACGAAGGCAAACTTCCTCGGATTGGTAATGAACTGTGGTCCTCACTCTTCCATCTTCCAGGTACAACCAGATCTTTGCATAAATCACATATCAAATAAACATGAAAATTCCAACAGTGGCAGAAATGTCATTAACTGTGGGGCATCTGATCCCTGGATGGATTCTGTCCTGGATAGCTCTCTGAGGCTTTTCTCAGGGTCCACTGTCGTCTTCTCTCAGGGCACACTGTCTTTTCTCTGGGTTCACTGTCACCTTTTCTCTGGGTGCACTGTCATCTTTTCTCTGGGTTCACTGTTGTACTTTCTGTGAATTCACTGTCGTCTTTTCTTTGGGTGCACCGTCATCTTTTCTCTGGGTCACTGTCGTCTTTTCTCTGGGTTCACTGTTGTCTTTTCTCTGGGTTCACTGTTGTATTTTCTCTGGGTGCACCGTTGTCTTTTCTCTGGGTGAACCATCATCTTTTCTCTGGGGTCACTGATTTATTTTTTCTGGCTTCATTGTCGTTTTTTCTCTGGGTTCACTCATATTTTCTCTGGGTGCACCATCGTCCTTTCTCTGTGTGAACTGTCATCTTTTCTCTGGGGTCACTGATGTATTTTCTCTGGGTTCACTGTTGTTTTTTCTCTGGTTTCACTGTTATGTTTTCTCTGGATGCACTGTCATCTTTTCTTGAGGTTCACCTTTGTCCTTTCTCTGGATTCACTGTCACCTTTTCTCTGGGTGCACTGTCATCTTTTCCCTGGGTGCACCATTATCTTTTCTCTGGGTTCACTGTTGTATTTTCTCTGGGTTCACTATTGTCTTTTCCCTGAGATCACTATTGTATTTTCTCTGGATTCACCATCGTCTTTTCTCTGACTTCACCATCACCTTTTCTCTGGATTCACTGTCATCTTTTCTCTGGGTTCACTGTTGTTTTTTCTCTAGGTTCACCATCATCTTTCCTCTGGGTGCATTTTCATCTTTTCTTTGGGTTCATCGTCATCTTTTCTTTGGGTTCACTGCTGTGTTTTCTCTGGGTGCACCGTCATCTTTTCTCTGGGTAAACTGTCATCTTTTCTCTGGGTTCACTGTCGTCTTTTCTCTGGGTTCACTGTCGTCTTTTCTCTGGGTTCACTGTCATTCCTCTTTTTCTCTTGGGTTCACTGTTGTTTTCTTCTGGGTGCACTTGTCATCTTTTTTCTTCTTAGTGCACCATTGTCTTTTCTCCAGGTTCGCTGGCTTCTTTCTCCGTTCACCTCGCATCTTTCTTGTGGGTGCACTGTAGTCTTTCTCTCTGGGTTCACTGTCGTATTTTTCTCTGGGTTCACTGGGTCGACTTTTCTGGGTGCATGGTTGTCTTTTTCTCTGTGTTCACTTCGTTGTCTTTTCTCTGGTTTTACTCGTTGTCTTTTCTCTGGGTTCATGGTCATCTCTCCTCTAAATTCACTGTCGTCATTTCTTTGGGTCTACTTTTGTCGCTTCTGAGTGTAACTGGCCATTTTTTCTGTGGGTCACTGTCAGTTTTTTTTTTTTTCACAGTATTATTAATATTTTTAATGTTAAAAGTTAAAAATAAACTAAATCACAAAATATTGCCAGTTATGATACATATATAAGGTGGAATATTTTGTAAACGATATAAACGTATATAAAAAGAATTTCTAGTGTGAACAAAACCTTATGTTTTTTGAAACAACGTTTAGCTTTTTAGAAAGTAGCAGTAGCATACAGAACACCCATAAACCGTTTATCCACATTTACATTTTTAACATTTTGTCTTTATTATTCTGCATGTGTTAAATACGTTTTTTTTCCCACCAGAACCATCTGAGAATAGGTTGCATTTATTTTTATTTATTTATTTTTTTAATTTATTTATTATTATTAAACTTCAAGTTGTAGGGTACATGTGCACAACGTCCAGGTTTGTTACATATGTATATTTCAGGCCATGTTGGTGTGTTGCACCCATCAACCTATCATTTACATCAGGTATAACTCCCAATGCAATCCCTCCCCTCCTCCCCATGATAGGCCCCGTGTGATTTTCCCCTTCCCGAGTCCAAGTGATCTCATTGTTCAGTTCCCGCCTATGAGTGAGAACATGCGGTGTTTGGTTTTCTTTTCTTGTGATAGTTTGCTGAGAATGATGGTTTCCAGCTGCATCCATGTCCCTACAAAGGGACACAAACTCCATCCTTTTTATGGCTGTATAGTATTCCATGGTGTATATGTACTACATTTTCTTTATCCAATCTGTCACTGATGGACATTTGGGTTGATTCCAAGTCTTTGTTATTATGAATAGTGCTGCAATAAACATATGTGTGTATGTGTCTTTATAGGCAGCATAATTTATAAATTCTTTGGGCATATACTCACCAATGGGATGGCTGGGTCATATGGTACATCTAGTTTAGATCCTTGAGGAATCGCCATACTGTTTTCCATAATGGTTGAACTAGTTTACAATCCCACCAACAGTGTAAAAGTGTTCCTATTTCTCCACATCCTCTCCAGCACCTGTTGTTTCCTGACTTTGAATGATCGCCATTCTAACTGGTGTGAGATGGTATCTCATTGTGGTTTTGATTTG